TGCCTGAGCCTGCAGGTTCGAGACCCACCTGGGCAACTTGGCGAGACCTCATCTCTACAATAAATCAAAAATTAGCGGGGCGTGGTAGCGTATGCCTGTAGTTCCAGTTACTTGGAAGGCTGAGGTGGAAGGATCACCGGAGCCCAGCAGGTCGAGGCTGCGGTGGCCGGGAGAGTGCCACTGCACTCCAGTCTGGGTGACAGAGTGAGACTCCAACTCAAAACAAACAAACAAAAAAAACCAACCTGATTTCAAAAGTGTATTATTTGAGGAAAAAGTAGAATAGATAAGTTTGGTGATTTTTTTTTTTAAACGTTTGAATAGTCAGGTCTTTCTTTATATTTTTAATGTTTTTTTATTTCCTCTATTCATGCCACTTACAAAGTAAATATATAAATATAAACAAGTATCAGGAGTAGAGTTTATACATTCACAGGAAATAATATTTTTGTGGATAAGTATCTTAACTTATTTATATTTATCAATTTTTTGAGATGATAATGTTGTGATAAGTAGTGATAAAAAAAAACCCTTTTTAGCATCAATTAATTTTTTCTTCCTTGGTATTAAAAAGAAAAGAGTATACTTACCATGCTTCATCCCAGCATTAGATTTAGTGGCTCCATGATGGAAGGTAATTCCACCATATGTAGGAAATCCATAGGGTGGGAAGCTATAACCTGAAATGGCAAGTAAAACAAATGAAAAATCATGAAGATGTTTTACAAATACTCAGCAGACCTTAGTGTCTATCCCTCAGGTGAGCACAGGTTTTGGCATGAGAACACTGTGCTATGCCCACACTTAATGCTTCTGCTGGGAGTAAGACATATCATGAGGGTCATGGGATGATGAAAATTCCACTTCTGCACAGTTTACATTTGGGCAGCTCAGATAGCACCCCTGACTTGAGGAGGGTTGTGATGGAGAAAGTCTCCACTCCCTCATGAAGGGAAGAGGCTAACACTGAGTGGTCACTACCCAAACTCATACTTGCCTACACAGAAGACATTAAAATAACCTCTGAATCAAACAAAACACAGAGAAACAAACTGACTTCTCAATGGAAAAACAGCCACCGCTATTCATTCTTATGCATTTTTGGTGGAAGCATAAACTGGGACAGCTCTTTGGGGAAGCAGCTGGCATTAGATGTTATAGCCTCTGACAGAATAATTTTACTTTAAATAATCTAATTTTCAAAAATAATCTAGAATAAAAGAAAAGTGATATGAATGGGAGTTCAGCACAGCATTTATGTAGATAATAGGAAACAACATCCAAATAAGTTATATTATGATTTGTTTATTTGATGAAATATTATGAGTCATTAAAATATGCTTAAAAATTATGCTTATGTAAGGTTTATAGTAGCACAGGAAAATGCTTATGTTAACACGATAGGTAAAAGTAGTACAAATGACTATATAAATAGTCATGGTACAAAGGATGATAAAAAACTAACACAAATAAATGGAACAAAGTAATATACATAATGGTGATAACAGATGTATTCAAGGAAAAATTCATAAAAATCTACTATATGTATACACAAAAACAATTAGAAGTGGTTAACATTCAATGGCATTTTTATGTGTTTTCAAACTTTCTACAATGTAGTATATAGAGATGTCTACAATATATCTTGTAGTATATATAATATAGCATCATTTTGTTTCTAAAGAAAAACAAGATAACTATGAAAAAAAAAAAAAAGTAAAGGGGAAATATGGAATTTTAATTAATGTATCATACTCAGTAATGTCATAGTTATTCAACTCACAGATATGCTTGAAACCCCAGGAAAGAAAATCCTATCCTCTCGAATGGGAAACGCTTTAGAAAGAATATATGTTTTTGTACCTGGACCTGTACTTCCAGTGCCCCCTCCTCCACCGCCACTACCAAACATGCCTCCGCCTCCAGCTCCGGCTCCACTACCACCGCCGAAACTATCTGAAAAATTGGGCATGAGCTTCTGCCGTTTCCTCTGTACTTCCTCTTTATCTGTGTTTAAGGGAAGAGAAACCAGAGGAGAAAAGATTGACTCAGTTCCACCATTAGCCACAGAAAGACTATTGATTCCGATCGTATTTTTAAACATCTTAAAGGGAAACAGAAAGTACTCAAGGAGGAAGAGATGCCAAATTTCAAGAAGCATTATATTTATTCCAATGGGTACAAAGGTTGAAAACTAGCCTGAGAGACCACAGAGCAGTACACACCCAAATCCACTCTGCAAGTTCTTAAAGTTCTCAGTGTTAAAATTAGTTAAAGAGTAGATGGCCCATCCAAAAGATATTGAAGACACTGGATAGAAAAACCATTATTGAACATTTTTGCTTGGTCACACAAAACAACTACATATTACTAATCAGCTAATATTTATTACACATCTACAGTGAACTAAGTGCTTGAAATTAAAAAAAAGTATAACACAATGTCTTTGCAGTGAAGAGCCCTCCAACATAATTTTAAGGTAGTAGGAGAAAGACTTAGTGAGACAGCACCATAATACTACATATGCTAAATTCATGGTGCAGAGCAGTGTTCCAGTAGCTCAGAGAAGGACTTCTAGGAGGTCCCTGAGGGCTGGGAAATCCAGGAAAGGCTTTCCAGAATCAATTTTATATAAGAGGAAGAAAAAGGAAGATGTTCTAGGAAAGGAATATGGAGGGAACACTATAACAAAGGGAAGACGTGAAATGGGTGCTTATGAGAACAGCTTATGAGCAATTTGTCTGAAGTGAAAATTTGCTTCGGTATACCTTGGGGAGATATTGCAGGTTTGGTTCCAGACCACCACAATAAAGCACATCACATGAACTTTCTGGTTTCCCAGTGCACATATAAAAGTGATGTTTACACTATACTGTAGTCTATTAAGTGTGCAATAGCATTATATTGAAAAAAAAGTACATATCTTCATTAAAAAATACTTTATTGCTAAAAAAATGCTAGTGATGGCCGGGCTCAGTGGCTCAGCCTGTAATCCCAGCACTAGGAGGCCAAGGCGAGTGGTTTGCCCGAGCCTGCAGGTTCAAGACCAGCCCGGGCAATTTGGTGAGCCCTCGTCTCTACAATAAATAAGAAAATTAGCCAGGTGTGGTAGCACACACCGTAGTTCCAGCTACTTGGAAGGCTGAGGTGGAAGAATTGCCGAAGCCTAGCAGGTCAACCCTGGGATGGCTATGAGAGTGCCACTGCACTCCAGCCTGGGTGACAGAGTGAGTCTCCAACTCAAAAAAAAAAAAAAAAAAAGCTAGTGATCATCTGAGTCTTTGATAAGTCAGTCTCCAACTCAAAAAAAAAAAAAATGCTAGTGATCATCTGAGTCTTCGATAAGTCATAATCTTTTTGCTGGTGGAGGGCCTTGCCTCGATGTTGACGGGTGCTTACTGGACAGGGTCATGGCTACTAAAGGTTGGGGTGGTTGTGGTGACTTTAAAAAATAAGACAACCATGAAGTTTGTCACATCAGTTGACTCTTCCTTTCACAAAAGATTTCTCTGTAGCACTCAGTGATGTTTGACAGCATTTTACTCACAGTAGAACATCTTTTGTAATTGGAGTCAGTCCTCTCACATGCTGCTACTGCTTTATCAACTAAGTTTATGTAGTATTCTAAATCATTTGTTGTCATTTCAACAATATTCACAACTTCTTCACCAGGAGTAGATTCTATCTCAAGAAACCCTTTCTTTGCTCATCCAATAGAAGTGACTCCTTATCCATTCACATCTTATCATAAGATTGCAGGAATTCAGTCCTATCTTCAGGCTTTACTTCTCATTCTAGTTCTTTTCCTATTCCTGTTACATCTGTAGTTACTTCCTCCACTGAGGTTTGGAACCCTGCAAAGTATTCATGAAGGATAGAATAAAGTTCCAACATCCTGTTCATGTTGATATTTTGACCTCCTCCCATGAATCATGAATGTACTTAATGAAATCTAGAATGGTGAATCCTTTCCAGAAGGTTTTCAGTTTACTTTGTCCAGATCCAACAGAGGATTCACTATCTATGGCAGTATAGCCTTATGAAATGTGTTTCTTAATAAGACTTGAAAGTCAAAATTACCTTTTGATCTATGGGCTACAGAATGGAGGCTGTGTTAGGAGGCATAAAGCAACACTTATCCCTTTGTATTTCTTTATCAGAGTTCTTAGGTGGCTGTCAATAAGCAGTACTATTTTGAAAGTAATCTTTTTTTTCTGAGCAGTAGATCTCAACAGTGGGTTTAAAATATTCAGTTAACCACACTGTAAACAGATGTGCTATCATCCAGGCTTTGCTGTTCTATTTCTGGAGCAGAGTAGACAGCATAATTCTCAAGAGGCCTAGGATTTTTGGAATGGTAAATGAGCACTGGCTTCAACTGAAAGTCACTAGCAGCATTAGCCCTTAATGAAAGAGTTAATCTGTCCTTTGAAGCTGTGAAGTCAGGTGTTGACTTCTCCTTTCTAGTTATGAAAGCCCTAGATGGCATCTTCTCTCAATATATGGCTGTTTTGCCTACAGAGAAAATCTGCTGGTTTAGTGTAATTACCATCATCAGTTTTCTGAACTACATCTTCTGGATACCTTGCTCCAGTTTCTCCATTATCACTTGTGCTTCATCTTGTACTTTTATGTTATGGAGATGACTTCTTTCCTGAAATCTCATGAACCAGTCTCTGTTAGCTTCCAACTTTTCTTCTGCAGCTTTCTCACCTCTCTCTGCCTTCACAGAATTGAAGAGAGTTAGGTTCTTGCTTTGGATTGGGCTTTGGTTTAAGGAAATGTTGTGGCTGGTTTTATCTTCTATCCAAACCACTCAAACTTTCTCCATATCAGTCATAGGCTGGTTTTTTTTTTGTTTTTTTTTTTTTTTAAATCTTTGTGGATTCCCTAGATCTGCACTTTTAATTTTCTTCAAGAACTTTTCCTTTGCATTCTCGGCTAATTGATGCAAGAGGCCTAGCTGTGGGCCTGTTCTAGCTTTTGACATGCCTTCTTCACTAAGTTTAACCATTTCTAGTTTTGGATTTAAAGTGAGAGACATGTGACTCTTCCTTTCACCTGAATATTTAAAGGCCATTGTAAGGTTATTAATTGGCCTAATTTCAATATTGTTGTGTCTTAGGGACCAGGGTTGCCTGAGAAATGGGAGAGAGACGAGGAAACAGCCAGTCGGTAGAAAGTCAGAACACATACAACATTTATTAAGTTTACCATCTTATATAAATGCTGCTTGTGGTACCCCAAAACAATTGCCATAGTAACATCAACAATCACTATAACAGATATAATAATGACAAAGTTTGAAATACTGAGAGAATTACCAAAATGTGACACAGAGACACAAAGTGAGCACATGTTGTTAGAAAAATGGCACCAACAGACTTGCTTGACACAAACCTTCAACTTGTAAAATATGAAGCATCTGCAAAATGCAATGAAGCAAGGATTGCCTGTATAAGAAATTCTTGAGAAATGGGCCTGATTGGGATTACACTTTGCTGCACCCAGAATATGAACCCAAGAAATATAACTTATAGGCAGCAAAGCTACTGAATATTTTTGAACAAGGGGATAATGTATACAGGGTTATATTTTAGGAAGATTAATCTTTCACTTGTACATAGGACATTCTAAAGAGCCAAAGGGAGAGGCTGATACGGTACAGACATAAGGTAACGGGGTCATGTTACACGGGCTTCCCATGATAATAAAAATGAGGTGGATCCCAGAACCACGATAAAAGAGGGATCTGTAGCCTCTGGTGACTGATGAGATATGGGGGGCTAAAAGTCTAAGACTTGACTAAAATACAGTGATGACCTCTGAGACTTTTGATTGCCTTTTTTTGCTTTCTGTATGTTTGTTTTGTTTTTGTCTTTTGTTTCTCATCATCTTTGCTTCCCACCAGCCCCAATGTTCCTTTTGAGTCCTGTTACCACCTCTGTGGCCTATTACTGGGTTCTTGTTTTCTTTCTCTTTTCCCTCCCTCCCTCTTTCCTTTCCTCCCTTCCTTCCCCCTCTCTTTCTTTCTCTTCCATAATTTTTCTACCATGTGTTTTGTTTTTGTCCCTTTCTCTTTTTGCACAGGAGCAGTAAAGGAGGTTTATTATTTTTTAATAAAACAATGTTTCTTTTTTCAATCAACAACCGAAGACTTAACAATTGTCCTATTTCAGATTCTTCAATGTCAGTTTTTGTCACTGTTTATGTTCAGAAAGATCTTCACTTATTTCTAATTCTGTGGTTGTTTAAGTCATGTTAGGACTAGATGGAAGACTGTTGTTTACTGATTATCTCATGATCATCTAACTGCAATTGAAAGATGAAGCAGGGGAAAGTAGGGTAACCAAGTACACTTTTATAATCATTTAAAAACTGAGCATGTCCAGACTTCTTAGGAAGAAAAAAGCCAAGGTGAGCAAATTTTAAGAACAATGTGCATTTAATCAAAGGGGATGACTTTGAAGTGGAGAAACCTTAACAATATCCTTATTAAAGATTTTTGGACAAATATATAAAATTTTGCATAAAATTTATCATAACTAATTATCAGCTATGCTCATTATTCCTCCTATAAATGTTGATCTGACATAGGACAGTTCACTGTAGAAATATGAAACACGAGAGGGAAGCAGACGTTTTATTCTTCTTCATAAATAAATGTTATCTATCGACATGGTTTCTAGCAAAGAGACCAGTTAGTATTTTCTACGCTCTCCTTTTGCCTTTTTTTTTTTTTTTTTGAGTTGGAGTCTCACTCTGTCACCCAGACTGGAGTGCAGTGGCATGCTCCCGGCCACTGCAGCCTCGACCTGCTGGGCTCTGGCAATCCTTCCGCCTCAACCTTCCAAGTAGCCGGAACTACAGGTGTGTGCTACCATGCCTGGCTAATTTTTTTTTTTTTTTTTTGATTTATTGTAGAGATGAGGTCTCGTCAAGTTGCCCAGGTGGGTCTCAGACCCACGGGCTCAGGCAATCCACTCACCTTGCCTCCCAAAGCGCTGGGATTACAGGCTGAGTCACTAAGCCTAGCCCTTCTTTTGCCTTTTAAAGCAGAGATGAGCACGGGTTATATTTCACTGTAAAATGGGAAGTTTTAAGAATGAATTTTCAAATTATTAGCTGTAATACAGACTAAGATGTCAATGAAAAGGAACTGACACAGAAAATGCACACGAGCTTTATAAAAGAATCTGTAGTCTGAATCTACAAAGAAGTGAACATGGAGATTTTCACACTGGGTTCATTTATCCTTGCAGTCTGCCCTTGAAGGTGGCACCACAGAATGTACTATGAAATATCAACCTATTTTAGAAGGGACCTAAGAGGCCACCTCACTACTAGTTCACCTTTTACAGAAGAGGAAACTGAAGCTGGCATGGTTAGGTGACTTGTCTGAGGTCAGGGCAAAAGGAAGATCAGACCCAAAGTAGTGATCTTTCCATTATGCTAGGCTGTCATTCTTTGGGACACACTCTAAAATAGCTTTGTAGAATAACAATCAATGACCTTAATAACTGATGATGTTAGATAATAGTTTAAATCATGAATATGAATAATCTTGTAGCTTCTACTACCATTCCCTGTGCATGTGCCCTGAAAACACTCATCCTCACTTTTTGAGATCTACTTTACCAGTAAAGATGCCTGCATTTTCCTGCCATATTTTCTATTATTTAAAGATTATAATTCTGTTTCTTCCTAATTTCCATCTTTTCAAAATGAAAAAAAACCATTAGGGTTTTTATTTGCTTTTGTACAGCAGTTTCACAACTATCTTCTTCCCTTGCCAATCACACTTCTCCTGATAATTTTTTTTTTTTGAGTTGGAGTCTCACTCTGTCGCCCAGACTGGAGTGCAGTGGCACGCTCCCGGTCACTGCATCCTCGACCTGCTGGCCTCGGGCGATTCTTCTGCGTCAGCCTTCCAAGTAGCCAGAATTACAGGAGCGGGCTACCATGCCCAGCTAATTTTTGATTTATTGTAGAGATGAGGTCTCGCCAAGTTGCCTAGGCGGGTCTCAAACCCGTGGACTCAGGCAATTCACTCACCTCAGCCTCCCAAAGGCGCGGGATTACAGGCTGAGCCACCGAGCCTGGCCTCTCCTGATAATTTTAACTGTCTCATCAGGACCTAATCATCTCCATTTTGTAAAGTACAATACCAATGACCAGAAAGGATACAGAGCTTGGGACTGGATGATTCTGAATCATGAGAGAGAATGTTCTATATCTATGCCCAATGTCTTAGTTGTTGGCACCCAACATATTACAAGCCTTATGGATGAGGAAGGCAACTTATTTGTTCAATCAACAAGTCAGTCCACAGATATTTAATGGACATTTACAATGTGACATATATTATTCTAGATGCTGGAGACATAGCAGTGAACATGAAAGAGCAAATCTGTGACCTAAAGAAGATTCTCTCTACTGGAGGTGGAAGGAAGACAAAAGATATACAAGTAAACAGATAAGACAAATTTACATATTGACAAAAATAATAATGAAGAATATAAAATTAGGTTATGAGTTAGGAAGTGACTGCAGAGACTGGGGGTAGTAGAGGGTATGTTCAATGATTTCTGAGAAATGTATACAATGATTCCCTAGGTTGTATAGTTTAAATTCATTTCCATATACTTACTCTCATGCTAAATGGCTTGCTACTTTTTAACCAGTCACACTGCCTGGTGAGTTTATTTCTCCTTAAGCATATTCTCTTGAGTTATTATCATCCAGAAAGTTTTATACAATAAGGTAATTTGTTAGTTATCCTCACATGTCTATATTGGCCATTCCTTTTTTTTTTTTTTTGAGTTGGGTCTCACTCTGTCACCCAGCCTGGAGCACAATAGCATGATCAAGGGTCACCACAGTCTTGACTTGACTTCTAGCTCAGTTTCAAGAGGCTGGCACTATAGGTGTATGTTGCCATGCCCAGTTAATTTTTTTATTTTTTGTAGAGATGAGGTCTTGCTTTGTTGCCTACACCAGACTTGAACTCCTGGGCTCAAGCAATCCTCCTGCCTTGGCCTCCCAAATTGCTACAATTACAAGCGTGAGCTACTATGTCTGGCCCATGTTGGCCATTCTTTCCTTTGGAGCTCAATGGCTAACTCCTTTTTTCCAGATAGTTCTTACACTGTTTGTATTGTGTGAAGACTATAACCAATGCTAGCCTGGAAGGTATTTGCTTGAAGCACACAGGTACGATTTTGAACTTTCAGGGGGCCCCATTTTCTAATCCCATTAAGAGATAGCTCCTGCTATGATAGGTTAGCAATGCAAGTAATCATCTGAATATGCTCCTGCTATATCATACTTTCTTACTGCATATATATCACTGGAAAAAGTAGACAGACAACCTAAAAACCAAGCTCAGCTGTGAATGCTTCCAGGTTCACACATGTTTATATAATTTTGGTTTTCTCTATCTCATGATTCTCTGTGTTAGCAAAAATTGACACTATTTTGAAGATGTATTTCAGAAGCAGCAATATATATTCTTCCTCAGAAGGTCCAAAAAAATTAGCCATATTTCTCTTTTGGGTCTACTTTTAAAGAAAGGTGTTTAAACCAAATCAGTGACTTTCACATTGTTTCGTGAAGGCAGCAACATTCAGAAGCCCTCAGCCAGCTCCTGGGTAAGAAAGTGAGAATACACAGCCTCTGGGAAGGCCAAGGGGGCAGGGCCCTCCACCCCTATTTTAACCAGAGTCTGTGTCCTTCGTACTCTAGAATTTTGAATGAAATTTCATGTGGAGAAAAAAAATATTTCAAACCACCAGTATACTGAATGCATTACAAATCTGAACCAGTAGTGGAGAGGTCACAACCTCAGAAAAGAAACAAGAACTCACAGAACCATTTTCCAAACGCTCCAGCTGCAGCATGAATTCTAGGAAAGGAAAGCCCTCTTCAAATATCACCTGTCACATCTTACTCTTACAGAAGCCAACACCTATGTGGCTCATTGCTGCTGCACCTTTGTGGTTTCCAACCTCATCCAGGACCTGGGTGCCCTGTGGCAATGACTTTACTGATCTCTCTTCTCCAGTCTCACTTCCCTCTAATAGAGGGGTTTCTAAATTGCTTTGTGTGCCACAGTCCCTTGTGCATTCTGGCAAACTCTACGGATCTCGTCAGAACCATGGTTTTCACCATGTACAATTTAAAATGGGATTATAAAATAAACTAATTATATTAAAGTACATTTTCATCCATGGACCCCTTGGGGGTCAGTGACTCTGGGTTAGATAATACTTCTGAGTGATATCCAGTTTTGGTGCCTGCTATATCCTTCTGAGATGATTCTCAGTGCTGAATTTCTTGCCTTTCTTTCCTGGGTTCCAGTTCTGCCTTTTGATCAGCCTAATAGGAATTTACACTTGAATTTCCCACAAGAACCTAAAATACAACATGTTTCACAATGAGCTCCCTGTTCCTCCCACCCAAACCTACTTTTATTCCCTTGTTCCTTTTATCAAGTCACTTACATCACAAACTTCCTAGTCTGGGAATCCTAGAAACTTCTCTGATTCCTGATCTCTCTCACACATCCTCCCTCAATCAGCATCCAGGTCCTCTTGACACCATTACTGCACTGTCTCTTGAGTCCTTATCTTCTTTCATTCCTGGCACCAACACTTTTACTAACCTCATCAATTTCTAACCTGGATGCTTGTATTACTCTTCTGACTCATTGTGTGCTTCCCAGATCCTCAGAGTTGACATAAAGAAGTCAGAGCCATCATCCCAACCCAGGCAGACCTGGCTATCCCTCTCCAGAATCAATGCACAATCCTTTAGCTGCCCTCACAGGCCTTTCTAGCCTGGCCTTGGCCTTCCTTATCCGCCTCAGCCTTCATTAGTCCACCTGAGTGTGCTAATGCTCATTTCTCTCTGCATAAGCAATGAGTGTGCTCATCTTTGTCCTTGAGTTCCTTGAGTGACCTTGGCCTTTCCTTCTCTGTTTAATACCTAACTGCTGAAATATATCCCAGATTTTAAGGACCAAATTATATTTCCTTGATAAAGCCTTCTTTTTGGAGGCTTATCATCAAGGAATCAAGGGCTCTCTCCTATATATTCTCATATGTATTTATGGATGTTTCATTTTTGGTACTTATTAACATCATTTGCATTATAACTATTTAAGGAGAATATTATCGTTCTTTCCTGAAGCATCTTTTATGAGGGAAAGAATGATACCTTACTCATTTTTATAGTCCCGCACTGTGTGCTGGCTGGGTTTTTTGTCAACTGTTTGAGGCTGGTTGACTGAGTGGTTGAATCTCCTCAACAGCCCGATTTTTTTTTTATCTCAACTGTCTGAACTCCCAGTTACTTAAATGTTAGCTTCTCAAATTCAAAGACAAACTCTCAAATATCTAAATCTCATATAAGCTTGGTGAAAATAACATTATTTTAAAAGGTTAGACTAATTCTATTACCTCAAAATAGTACATCACCTGTCTCTTCTTTAAAAATAAGTACCGTGGACCCAGGGACCTGTTACCTGGAAGCTGCTGAAAGGAAGTGATCAACTGATATTTTCTAATTAGCCTGTCCTCTTATCAGAGTAAGCACAACAACTGGCTTACCTTTGATTTCAGGGTAGTAGAGAAAAGGTTTGGGTTCACTAGTTTCCAAATCAGATTTCCTCCGAAGTTGGACGAACACAGAGGCTGGCTTTGTAATGTTGACATCTTTATACTTTGGAGTTTTGAAGACAATGGCAAACTGTAGCACACAAAGATACAAACTTTGGTGTAGGACTATACATTTTTTTACGCAGTGCTACTCATGAAACACATTCCTTATGCTTTTCTTTATACCCAATGCTTACACATAGCATAACAAAACAGACAAACGAACGAACAAACAAAAAAAAAAAACAGCACTCTGTTGCAAGTTCCAAACTCAGATTCTATACTCTACATTTTTAATAAATTGCCACTATGAGATTGAAATACAACACTATGCCAGTGTATTCAAATATTTATTATTTCACTTTGATATTTCAAATGTCTGGTAGTTGTAAATTTTGTACATATAAAATTCACTGCATACACGTCTTTCTTCTCTTCCAAATCAGTCTTAAAAGCCTCCAAGATTATTTATAGCAACATCAAGAAGACTGGGTATGGAGAGGGTACGGACAGGCCAGTGACAAGGAGAGGGAACTAAACCTCCGCTCAGGGAGGCATTATTACATATTAATTTCTGGTGGTGCTAGAACAGTTAAGCATCTTAACAGTTTTGAGTTTGAGTTTGATTTTTTGACTCCAAAATATATTCAAAGGGATCAGGAGTTTGTAAAACGTTAAAAAGTATACAATAGCATATATTTATTATTCTCTTTGCCATCCCCATCTGCCATTCATGCAATTTCTATAGTAAACCAGCCCCCAGAGATAAATGTTATTAATTTCTTACATATCCCTCCAGAATGTATTTATGCATATGCAAATATGAACATATAATCATTTTAAACACACTTTGTTTTCTATGCCTATCTTTTAAAATACTTTAATGCTGTATCTTTGAGATTTTTCTAGATTAGTGCACAAAGTACTCATTCCTTTTAATAACTGTATGAGATTCAATCATATAGACATACCATAATTTATTTAACTGAACACTTGTTGATGAACATTTGGATTGTTTCCAATTTTTTGTGAAAATAGTACTGCTCAATCACTTGTATATAGTAGAGTAATCATTAAGGTGGGGGCTCAGCATTATCATCCCATAGTCATACAATCAGCTGTCCCTGGGAAATCTTCATTTATCAGGATGACAGCAGCTTTAATTAGAAGCCTCCTTCATTCAACACTTTTCATTAGAAAATGCTTTTAAAAGGTCTCACCATAACTACTTTGGTTGAACACTTAGAAAACTTAAGACATTTTTACTGAAGGAACTAGGACCGCTGCTTTATATGTTCAGGGATCAGAGAGCAAGTGAAATGTGTTGTCAACTTCTCAGAGTCAAAGGTCTGATAGAAACTTGCCGATAATTCGATAGTAGGTAAGTTTTCTGAATGACGTGCAAGAGTCTTCAAAATAGTACCATTTTATAGATGCTAAATAAATATTTACAATTTTTTTCTTTTTTATATATAGAAACTAAGCACTGAATTTCAACAAGGCAGAAAATGTAAAATGATGATGATAATGATAATCCACTTACTTGTCTATGAACGTCTGTGGGGGAAAAATCTCCAAATCCTTCCCAGACTCCACCATTTTCCTCTTCCTCATAAAATCGAATCTGGATGTCATCTGCAAACAGTCACATTCAGGTATATAATTTCACATAGTGTAATAATATGTATAAACATGCTGAAAAATAAAACTGGTTCAAGATTCTACCTACTATCTACTTAGACTTTAAAAAATAATTAATATAAAACAGATTTCTAAGTCATTTAACATTTTTGCAAATCACAACCTTTTAAAAATTATTTACCATAGGAATGAAGTCCAAGTTTCTTTTTTTTTTTTTTGAGTTGGAGTCTCACTCTGTCGCCCAGACTGGAGTGCAGTAGCTGCACCCAGCCACCACAGCCTCTACCTGCTGGGCTCTGGCGATCTTTCCGCCTCAGCCTCCCAAGTAGCTGGAACTACAGGTGCATGCTACCACGCCTGGCTAATTTTTGATTTATTGTAGAGATAAGGTCTCACTAAGTTGCCCAGGCGGGTCTCAAACCCACGGGCTCAGGCAATCCACTCACCTCGGCCTCCCAAAGTGCTGGGATTACAGGCTGAGCCACCGAGCCTGGCCGAACTCCAAGCTTCATTTACAATAGCAGAATACTAGATTTACCTAATCAATCTGAATTTTCTTTAACCTTACCACTTCTTCATCCTTAAATTAATTCAATCTTGAAGAAATATTAGAATCCCAAAAGGTGGTTCAACTCAATATATAGATCTACATTAAAACAACTTACACAAGGTTTACTATATGGCAGATGCTATTCTAAGTTATATACCGATTTAATCCTCATAACAACCCTGTTATATAGGTGTGTTATTATAATCCCCACTTTTGTAGAAGAGAAATTGGAGTCCAAAGAATTTAAGTAACATATTCAAAGTTAACAGTTAGTACATGGATTCTGACACAGGCATTATAATTTTAGAATCTAGGCTCTCAAACACTCTACTGCCTTCCTCACATTCATATTAAGTAATTGGTCATGGTTACCAATACTATGATGATCAGGGCCTTTCTGGTTAAATTAGATGTCTAAATTTCATACTCTAGTCATAGACTGCATTTCTGCAGAAAAATGACAATATAACTCAGGTTGGCATTTCTCTGGCTTCACTTTCCATTTCATAGAAAGGGCTCCACTATCGATTTATGAAACAAAGTTTACATTTCTATTTAAATAGAATTCTAGAAATACTAGATACAAATAAAACATCTCATTATCTCCTGGTCCATTCCTTCGCCTTCAGGTAGGACTATCCTGAACCTAGTTACTAAAATTCTTTAAGCCAAGTACAAGGATTTTCTTACTCAGCTATTTCAATGTAGTAATAATGAATAAGAATCACATTTACACATAAAGGCACTCAGATTGTGTTTACTCATTATATGTATATCCCAGAATCTGGAAATGAGTATTGCTTGGATGGTTGGAAGAAGGCTTACCAGTATAAGCAAAGAAATATAAACTTTTTTGGCAAAACAATATGTATCTTTACTTTAAAATCTGATTTTTTTTCTTTTTACTTTATACCCATGAGCCTCAAATGAGAAATTTTTTAAATGTCATACTTTAAAAATTTATTTTGTTTATTTTATTTATATTTCCAGTTAGGTATCTGCTTATTTTTAAAATGCTCATTTTGTAGTAAATAAATCTTTATTATACTACACTTTCCATGTACCTTTTTTTTTGAGTCAGAGTCTCACTCTGTCACCCAGGCTCCAGTGCAGTGGCACGCTCATGGTTACCACAGCCTCGACCTGCTGGGCTCAGGCAATCTTTCCGCTTCAGCTTTCGAAGTAGCTGGAACTACAGGTATGCACTACCACGCCTGGCTTCTTTTTTGATTTATTGTAGAGACGAAGTCTCACCAAGTTGCCCAGGCTGGTCTTGAACCCCTTAGCTGAGACAATCCTCTCACCATTTTAATTAAAAAGTAAGCAAAGTCTGAGAAAATAACATAATTTTCTTCAGCTTTTATGAATTAGGCAATCTTGTAATGTATCTAACAAGATATGTATGCCAAGAATCTTTTCTTAAAGTGAAAACTGTGAAAGAACTGTGCTCTGAAAATTTCCCTGTACTTCTTGCTTTCGTTTTTCTTAGCTGACATCACAGTGCTAAGTGGAAATGTTTGGAGAAACTCTCTCAGTGTTACAACAAAGTATTGCAAAATAAACAGAATCAACAATTTCACACTTTATGAAACTAATTATTTATTCTCTGTGTGTGCTTGTGTGTGTCAAACATGGGCTATTATTCATTTAGTTTAGTTTAAATGTTTAAAGTGGGCCAGGCTCAGTGGCTCAGCCTGTAATCACAGCACTTCGGGAGGCAAGTGGATTGCCTGAGTCCCCGGGTTTGAGATCAGCCTGGGCAACTTGGCAAGACCTTGTCTCTACAATAACTCAAAAATTAGCCGGGCGTGGTAGCACACGCCTTTAGTTCTGGCTACTCGGAAGGCTGAGATGGAAGAATCGCCGGAGCCCAGCAGATCAACACTAGCGTGGCCGTGAGCAGGTCTCGAACCAGCAGGCTCAGGCAAAAAAAAATGTTTAAAGTATAAGACCTGCCTGGGCAACTTGGCAAGACCTCATCTCTACAATAAATTTTAAAAAAAATTAGCCGGGTGTGGTAGCGCATGCCTGTAATTCCGGCTACTCGGAAGGCTGAGGCAGAAGGATCGCCAGAGCCCAGCAGGTCGAGCCTGCGGTGGCCAGGAGTGGCCACTGCACTCCAGTCTGGGCAACAGAGTGAGACTCCAACTCAAAAAAAAAAAAAAAAAAAAAAATTATAAGAACAGGTATCAATGGTTAAAATATAAAATACTGAAAGTCACTGATTATAATTATCACTATTTTCTTATGTCGCTTTACTTCTGTAAGAAATTTAAAAATGAATTAGTTCGGGCGGGCTCGGTGGCTCAGTCTGTAATCCCAGCATTCTGGGAGGCCAAGGTGAGTGGATTGCCTGAGCCCACGGGTTCGAGACCGGCCCCGACAAACTAGCAAGACTTCGACTCTACAATAAATCAAAAATTAGTGGGGCGTGGTAGCACACGCCTATAGTTCTGGCTACTTGGAAGGCTGAGGCGGAAAAATCGCTGGAGCCCAGCAGGTCAAGGCTGTGGTGGCCGGGAGCATGCCACTGCACTCCAGTCTGGGCGACAGAGTGAGAGTCCAACTCAAAAAAAAAAAAGAATTTGTTTGTTTAAAAAAAAAACACAGACAACTTATATTTGGAAGAGGTAAAGTATAAATTTTTTAAAAGATGACCTATGGCAGAAGATGAACATTTCTGGTCTGCGGCCAAAATGTGACTTACAGACACACTCAGAATTACATTCCACAACTTGAGATCAGAGCATGTATTTACCTTTTTGAACTTTGTCACAGAGAAGATAAATTTCTTCCCCTCCAGTCACACACCCAGCTGTCCTGTCCATTCTTACAATTTTCAAGTTGGATGCATTGGGAGCTTCTGCTCACAGAGGAAAAACAACAAATGTCATAATTTATCCTTAGCTTTGCAAGCCAATCCATTGAGAGGGACCCTCTCCTTTGCACATATCACCAAAACAAAATAGATGTTTTCCCTCATATTGCTGTAACAAAGATACAAATAAATCAAGAATGGCTTCTGAAGTCCTCAGACCACTTCTTGGGCATGGGTCATTCATTATCACCAAAACAGAAAGGTAGAAAGAAACAGATATTTTTTTTCTCCCACAGAAAGAGAGACTGATACAGAAAGAGAAAGAACTTTTCTGTTGTTTCAGGAAGTACCAATCCAATGGATTTCTGGGCTTTCAGTCAGGTCAACATTTTAATCCTAGGCTTGTTTTCATTTACAAGAGTAAAATTTACAAGAGACCTAAAAATTTCAGGAAACATAACTTTCTTAAACTATTTATTAATATTTATTCTACAGAGAAGACAAATGGAGATGCTATATTTCTTTTTCCCCAAACTAAATTAAGATTCTGTGTGGTGAAGAGGCAAAAGTTTCATGTGGTAATAGTATAAAGCTTCCTTTTTTGGTTTTTCTCCAACAGTTGCATTTTAAGGTGATCTGTGGTAAATGAGTCTGTATCATTTTTGTAACCCTTTCACTTCCCTCTAAACTTGTTTAAATTAGAGAAATCAGTTAGTTGTATTTGGAGCATGGAGTTTTCTACTTATATAAAATTCTATAATTCCAATGAGCTTAAGTACTGTACTTACTGGCTTTTTGAAAATATCTATTTAATAAATTCCATGCATACCAAACAGGAAAGTTGAATGGCAAATGCTGAAGGTTACTGTAAAACTCTTAAAAAGTCCTAGGAACTATAGACCAAATAGATTTTTTTTTGAGATGGTAATCTTACAATGGTTACCCAGGCTGGACCCAAACTCTCGATCCTCCCACCTCAGCCCACAGCCTCCCAAGTAGCAGGGACTATAGGAACATGCCACTACACCCAGCTTGAAACAGAATTTTGAAGCCACATACGATCTATACCTCTATATATCTATATTCCATTAACTTGAAGCTCCTATCTGACAAAGATAGCAACATATGAGAATCAAGATGGATTAGAATTGTTGACCCTCATCAAAGAAATGCAAATTAAAACCACACTGAGATATCACCTAACTCTAGTCAGGATGGCCATCATCAATAACTCACAAAACAACAGATGCTGGAGAGGATGCAGGGAAAAGAGAATGCTTCTACACAGTTGGTAGGAGTATAAACTAGTACAACTTTTGTGGAAAACAGTTTAGTGAATCCTAAAAGATCTAAGAAATCGACCTTCCATATAATCCCACAATCCCCCTACTGAAAATATACCTGGAGGAACTCAAATCACTCTATGAAAAAGATACCTGCACAAGCATGTTTACTGCAGCATTATTCACAATAGCAAAAACATGGAACCAACCATGCTGCCCATCAAAAGAGAACTGAATTAAAAAAAATGTGGCACATATACAAGATGGAATATTATGCAGCCATAAAGGACAAAATTGTGAACTTCACAGCAACTTGGATGGACTTAGAGTCTGTAATACTGAGTGATCTATCACAGAAACAAAGAACTGAGTACCACATGTTTTCACTCATAAGTGGAACTTGAACAATTATTAAATACTATAAGAAAGGGACTGGCAGTACTGGGAAACTGATGGGGAGGTGGGGGGCAGGATTGGTAGTAATGGGAAACTGTTGGGAGTGGGGGGCACACTTCATCAACAAGGTTACTTGCATAATGAACATTTGTATACCTAACCCTGAATTGTACCCCACACTTGTAAAATTAAAAATTAGCCCCAAAGAAAAAAATTGACATACTTTTTTAAGAGCAATGTATTCAAAAATAATAAGAGACTTGGTATTGCATGTAAAAGACTAAAAAATGCCCATCGGAGGAAAGAGAATTACATGTAATGAGCACCTCTTATAATGTCTTATTTAATGTATACATGAAATTTATAAGCTAGATTTTAGTATTCACATTTTGCAGATGACTGACCTGAGACTCAAAAGTGATTAAGTCACTTTTGCCAGGACTCCAAGCTAGTAAATAAATGGTAGGGCAGGGTTGAATGTCTGTTCTTTTTTTTAATTTTTTAAATTTTTTGAGAGACACAGTCTTGCCATGTTGCCTAGGCTGGTCTCAGACTCCTGGGCTCAAGCAATCCTCTCGCCTCCACCACCCAAAGTGCTGGGATTACAGGTGTGAGCCACTGTGCCTAACCAGGAAGTCTATTCTTGAAGTTACACCAAGCTGCCTCCCCTCAGAAGCACTCACTGCTGTCGTAGATGGCATCTGAGACTACGGGTTCTAGGCGCCTTGTGAAGCTGCCAGTGCTGTCTGGAAGAAAAGCTGTAAACATAAGCCGCACCACGCTGAGGTCCATTTCCTTTGTCTGCTGAAGAGCTGCCTGGCGGATGACCTCCTTTTCCCGATCTAGAAGCATACAGCACAGTCCATTCATGCCCAGGGAAAGTGAAAAGTGTGAACATTGAAAATAGCAGGCTTTTAATAAGACCAAATAAAGAATGCAAGCTTAAAAATAAAAAGCCATTTCTTTGTCTTTCAAATTCTTCACATTGCCAGTAAAATGTTTAAAAAAAAAAAAGTCTTGTTGATGTCATCCAAAATTAAAAGCATCAAAGAAGACCTATATTTTCTCTGAATTACAGTAAAAACTGTCTTGCATACATCAGACCACCTCTCTCCTCTCCTGTCCTCCCCCCACCTCTTCCTCTTTTCACTACAGTAAGAGTTAAAGGCACAAAGGATGTGATGGAATGGAATGAAATGGAATTAGCCTACTAAGTACCAGCTGTATTGAGAAATGTGCAAATTATTCCAAAATGTCTCTGAGCACAGGGACCATGCTCATTTCACAGTGCCAAGCCTAGAGCCTGCAAAGTACTTTTTGCTGGGTGTGGTGACTCACTGCCTATGATCCCCGCACTTTGGGAGGCTGAGGCAAGCGGAGTGACTGAGCCCAAGAGTTTGAGACTGCTTGGGAAACATGATGAGACCTCGCCACTATAATAAATCAAAAAATTAGCCGGGCATAGTGGCATGCACCTGTAGTCCCAGCTTCTTGGAAGGCTGAGGCAGAAGGATAGCCTGAGCCCAGCATGTCAAGGCTAGAATAGCCGTGATTGTGCCACTGCACTCCAACCTGGACAACAGAGTGAGACTCTGACTCCAAAAAAAAGAAGTACTTTTGAAGGACCCGAATGACTCAATTAAATTTGACTCCTTCCCTCCTGTTGGTGTTTTCATGCTGACAAATAAAGTCATACTAAATTTATACTATCGTAAAAGGTAGTAATGCAAGTAATAAGTGCCACAAGAGAGTTACAGATGAAGTGATGTGGGATTTCAAGAGAGATGCTAGAGGTTTGGGACCAGAAAAGGCATTTGCTCTAAATCTTGAAGGGATGATACAATTTGAACATATTCATATAAGAGAATGGAATAAATACATTTCAGGAAGAGGAGACAGCAAGAATAGAAACATGCCAAATCAGGGACATGAGGAATCATGGTGCTCCTCCAGAGTCGTTCAGTTTGACATGAAGGGGCATAGTGGGAAACAGAATGTGAAAAGCAGACTGGGGCCAGCTCTGTGGAGGTCTAAATGCCAGCTTACGGAATTTGGATTCTGTAGGCAACAGGGAGACACCAAGCGGTGTAAGATGCAGACTTCGGGAAAATCTATCTAGCCATAGGGTGTCAACGGAATTAGAAGTGGGGAGGGATAGAGACCAGGGAGAAGACTACTATAATTGGAGCAATGAAAATGGGGCCAGGAGTGGAACACCAGGGAGGGCACAGAGCAGCTGGACCACAGACTGGAGATGCAGTGCAGGTGAGAAGGGGAGTCAAAGGTGATGTGGAGGGTTTTGAGTCTGGGTACCAGAAGATGAAATATGTTGAGTGAGAAAATGATAACTAGTGTTGAATTGTCTGAGTATGAGATGATGACAGTGGCTAGAGTAAAGGATACAATGTAAAAGTAAAAATGTAGCATGTGGTGGGACAGGAATTGAGGTTGAAAGAAAAAATTTGAATAGAGGCTGGAAAACAGAAAATTAGAGCATTTATGATAAAGATAATAGTTTATAACATACCCAGAGAGCCCAGGGAAAGATTTCTTATAATAAGGTGAATTGGGGGAGATATAAAAGAGGAAGTGTTCTTTGGACTAAGTGTTGAATTATGCATTGATTTTGACAGGCTGAAGAAGTAAGGGTGAAAGGTTTTAGGTAGAGGAAAACATAGAGGTACAAATATGCATGTTCAGAGCAGTGATGGGGAGAGGTAGGCTCAGGGCAGGCTGAGATGAGGATGGAAAGGTGCTGGGATCAGAGTGGGAGGGCTTTGTAGGCCAGGCTATGAAGATACAGATTTTACTCTGGAAGAAGTAGGATGCCATCAAAGGCTTCTGAGCAGGGAAAGGGTGGGAGCAGCATGGGGAAGACTGGCAGGCATGCGGATGTACAGTCCACACAGGGGAAAATGAAAGTCTGGGGTCCTCAGAGGACCAAGACCAGAAATGACACTCACCTGTGAGCTGCCGGTCCCCTCCACCTTCCACTTGCAAATAGGCAAGGTCAGGGTGCACCAAGAGTCCAGGATTATAGCCCCTTATACACGCCTCTGTCATTCGTGCTTCCAGTGTTTCAAATACTTTTTTCTTTGTCACATGAAGTATACCCAGGTTTGCAAAGCTGGAGAAAAAACAATCACAGTAGCAGCAACAACCACCAAGTGTTAGGTAGTCAATGACTACAGAATCTGACTTCTCTTTAGTAAAGTGAATTAAAGAAAAAAACACACAGCCTCTCAATGGCTTATCCAAATCCCTTGGGGATGGTTGCATTTCAGAATTCAGGTTTTTTTTTTATGTTAGAAGAGCAATATATGCCATATACTACATATTACATAATACTCTGAGCAGGTCTGGGGTGTACAGTGCAGTTATACACATTATTAATATTTCTGCAGTGAAATGTAAACAGACTCACCAAATGGAAAAATAAAGACTATAAAACAGCTACAAGTCAGGTCAGATTGGGTTTTGCTATCAAATGAGTTTGCAGTAAACTTGTAAGAATCTTTTGGTTTTTAGGGCTTATTAGGTTTCCAAATTGTGACTAAGGGAGTGGGGATATGTGTGTGTGCATGTGTGTGTGTGTGTCTGTGTGTGTATGTAACTTAAGAAATAATAAGAAAGTTTTGTCTGAACTCATTTTAAAGTACTTTCTATGAAAATTGCACAAAAAATAAAAATTACAAATATGATACTAACTTTTCTTTAGGAACAAGAAGGATCTTATAATTGGAAGATTTTTTTTTTCTCTCTTTGAATTATCCCTGGGTTTCTGAATGGGATTTAAAATCTACCTGGAATCCCAACTCCCCCTGGGTTATATGTAAGGTTAAAACTATTTATGATCACTAGAATTGTCCTCTAAGAATACATGTAATCAGGGATGGAGAACCTTTTATCTCATGAAGACTACATATATAGAGAACAAAATATGCTAATAAGCTAAATTGAAATTTTAAAAAAATGCTTCAGCTGACTTCTCAAAGAACTAAAAACAGAACTACCATTTAATTCAACAATTCCACTACTGGGTATCTACCTGAAGGAAAATAAATCATCACATTAAAAAGATACTTGAGCCGGGTTCGGTGGCTCAGCCTGTAATTCTGCGATTTGGGAGGCTGAGGTGAGTGGATTACCTGGACCTGCAGGTTCGAGACCCACCTGGGCAACTTGGCGAGACCTCATCTCTACAATAAAAAATAAAAAATTAGCCGGGCGTGGTAGCGCACACCTGTAGTTCCAGTTAGTTGGAAGGCTGAGGCGGAAGGATTGCCGGAGCCCAGCAGGTCAGGTTGCGGTGACCGGGAGCAACCACTGCACTCCAGTCTGGGTGACAGAGTGAGACTCCAACTCAAAAAAAAATAATAATAATAATTAATAAAAAGTAAAAAGATACTTGCAGGTTGGGCATGGTGGCTCACACCTTAATCCCAGCACTTTGGGAGGCCGATGCAAGAGGATTGCCTGAGCCCAGGAGTTTGGGACTAATTTGAGCAACATGGTGAGACCTCATCTCTACAGTAAATCAAAAAATTAGCTGGGCATGGTGGTGTATCTTTGTAATCCCAACTGCTTGGAAGGCTGAAATGGAAGGATCACTTGAGCCCTGCAAGTAGAGGCTGTGGTAGCCATCATTGTGCACTGCACTCTAGTAGACTGGGTGACAGAGTGAGTCTCCGACTAAAAAAAAAAAAAAAGACACTTGCACTTATATGTTTACTGCAACACTATTCACAATAGCAAAGATATGGAATCAATGAAGGGTTGAATAAGTGTCCATCAGTGGAGTGTTGAATAAAGAAAAAATATGTGTGTGTATAATACACATACACACACACACACACACACACACACACACACACACACACACACAGTATGGCATACTACTCAGCCATAAAAAATAATAAAATAATGGATTTTGCAGCAACACGGATGGAACTGGAGGCCATTAGCCTAAGCAAAATAACTCAGAAACAGAAAGTCAAATAGCACATTTTTCACTAAGTGAGGACTAAATAATGGGTACACATGGACACACAGAGAGGAATAACAGAAATTGGAGACTACAAAGAAGGGGGTGAGTGTTAAAGATTACCTACTAGGCACAGTGCTCACTATTCAGGGTGATGAGTACACAAAAAGCCCAGATTTCACCACTACGCAATGTATGCATTTAAAAAACCTGTACCAGAACCATCTAAATATACAAAAATTAGAAAAATTTAAAATGCTCAGCCATTCTTTTTTGAAATAAAGTTCATGAAACAAAGGAGTATATCCAATCAATCAAACAAACAAAAATAGGTCTTAGGCCAGGAGACGCATTCATTCAACAAATATTCGTGCAGATCTACTAGCCAGCATCCTAGGTGCTTTTGTCAACAGCATCACAGAATTTGTCTACCATCACAGAATTTATATGAAAGAAGTAAATTATATAACATAATTTAGAAAGTAGCAAGTGTTACCAAGAAAAATAAGGTAGAGATGAGGAATAGAAAGGGCAGTAGAAAAAGGCATAACATTTTAAATTAGGGAGAGGTCAGAAAGGCTCCTCTGTGAAAAGACGACAACTGAGCAAAGACTTGAAGGAAGGAAGGTGGAAGACGTGGACATATGAGTGAAGAACTTTTAACAGCAAGTGCAAAGACCCTGAGGTAGGACCATGCTGGTGCTTTCAGAAGACAACAGTGGCAAGGAGGTCAATGTGGCTGGAGTGAAAAGAGCAAGGGGTCAGGAGTAAGCAAAGAGTTCAAAGAGGTAGTAAGTAGGGGCCCAGATCTTTGACACGCTTGTAAGCTTTTGTAAGGACTTTTCTTTTATTCTGGCTTTGATTACTAGAGGAAATAAAGAGGTGTTAAGACAACTGGATTAAGTGAAATAAAAAAGAAGCTAACATGGGAAAGTCAGATAAACTATGGAAAGAAAACAGAAGAGATGAAGGCAGAATGAGATGAGCGTTCAGAGGCCCAGAAACAGGATGTGTCACATGTCTAGACAGATGAAAAACTGTGGATGGCTGAGACACACATACACAGAAAAAACAAACAAACACACCACTAGAGTACAAGCTCCTCGAGGAGAGAGATTTCCCGTGCCTAGAATAGTGCCTGAGATATGGGTATTTAATAAATGCTTGTTGAATGAATGAATGCATGAATTAATACAGCACAGAAAAATACGAAACATGACATACTAATATGCAGAGAGGCATAGGCAGTCTTTCAGAAACAAAACCTCCATCTTTTGAATTTTTAGGCCTTACTTCTAAATAGAATATCCACAACTACAGGAAAATAGAGTCATCTTCCAGGTAATGGCAATGGCAAACATCTGTGTAGAACTTTGTACTTTCTCATCTATAGTTTGTTTTTCATGTCCTTATCTAATTTACTTCCTGTGAGAAATATATCATTCTTACTAATATATCATGTGAGTAATGAAGGCTTTACTCTGGTAACAAAATGATACAGAAGTCAGTCTTCTTCTTTAGGCAATGATGGGAGTAACATTGACTGGATTAAACCTTAACTTTAACTTAAAAAACATATGAAAAAATAGTTTTCAGGCACTTGACAACAGCCAGTGATCTTTAAGAACAGGGAAATAAATAAGGTGAATCCTACAATTACTCTGGCTTAATGCCTGGAGAGAGTTCCAGGCTATTGCACAGGAAGGGGGAAACTCAACAGAGCCTGGCAATTCCCTGAGGTTAAAGAGACGCAGTTAGACATTTAAGGACGCCAAGGAGGCTAGAACTCACAGGCAGAGCATTAAGAACTGCATGAAGAGAAACACTCAGAGATCTCCTATGTGTGGAGAAACTAACCAAAGCTGAGAAAAGAACCACCATAAAGGAGCAATTCTTGTAGCACACACAGGAACAGTTCAAGAAACCTTGTAATATGTGGAGCATCAGGTTGAATATTCAGAAAGATATTGCCTTAGCAAAAATGTCAACTCAATCTTAGAATAAGGTGGAAGGAAGTAAGGTGAAAGACGTGGACATATGAGTGAAGAACATTAAACAGCAAGACCCTGAGGTAGATATGATTCAAAACTAGGATAATAACAATTGATAGAAACAGATCCAGAAATGATTCAGAAGACAAAATTTGTAGACAAATACATTAGAATAGCTATTATATATTCTGTATGGTCAAAAGATAGAAAGCCTTAGTATGTTAAAGAGAAACATGGAAGGCATAAAAAATACTCCCCCCACAAAAAAAAAAAAAGAAAGGAAGAACTGCAGAGATGAAAACTTTGAGGAAAAAAAAAGTACATAAGAATGAAGAACATATTGAGCCAGGCATAGTGGCTCACGTCTGTAATCCCAGCCACTGTGGGAGGCCGAAGTGTGAGGATTACTGGAATCCAGGAGTTCAAGACCAGTCTGGGTGAGACAGTGAGAACTTGTCTCTAAAAAATAATAATAACAATAAAAATTAGCCTAGTATAGAGGCACCTGCCTGTAGGTGAGGGAGGCTGAGGAGAAAGGATCACTTGAGCCAGGAGTTTGAGGATGCAGTGAGCTGTGATTGTACCACTGTACCACTGTACTCCAGCCTGGGCAACAGATCAAGACCTGACTCAAAGAAAAAATAAAAAAAGAATTAATAACATATTAGATACTACAGATTAAAAGATTAGTGAACTTGAAGGCACAGTTATAAAACTTTCTAAAATAAAACAAAGAGAAAAAAGGATGAGAAAAAAAAGAACAGATCATAAGTGAGCTGTGGGATAATTTTTAAAATGGCCAAATATACATGCAATTGGGATTCCAGAAGAAAAGAGGAGCATACAGAAAAAAAATTTGCAAAAATGGCTCAAAAGTTAAAAAAAATTTTTTTTTTTTGAGTCAGAATCGCTCTGTTGACCAGGCTGGAGTACATGACTCACTGCAGCCTCAACTTCCTGGGCTCAGATGATCCTCCCACCTCAGCCTCCCAGGTAGCTGGGACTACAGGCGCATGCCACCCACACTCAGCTGATTTTTTAAAAAAATTTTTTGTAGAGACAAAGTCTTGCTATGTTGTTCAGACTGGTCTTAAACTCCTGGGCTCCAGTGATCATCTCACTTCAACCTCCCTAAGTTCTGGGATAACAGGT